GACATGAACCCCATCGAAAACCCCTGGGCCATACTCGACTGACAAGTCAAGAAACAACAAAAAAAAACAACTTCGAAGAGTGATCTACTCCAAGTTTTGAAGCAAGAGTGGGCGAAAATCCCACAATATAAAATTGACGAGATGATTTTCACGATACCCCAAAGGATCAACGAACTCCATGAAGCGAAAGGAAGATCTACTAGATATTAATTAAATAATAAATACATCAATTCATATGAATATGACTGAAAAATTTCATTTTTTCTGAAAAGGTGGTGTCTATTTACTTCTGACCACGCTGTGTATATTGATCAAACAGAAGGGCCATGCACACCCCAACTGGATAGCAGAGCATCAAATCTGAACCAGTATTATAAGTAGGCTCCCACATAGGCTGGTGCCACTCGTACCAACATCTGGAAAAACACCTAGGGACCTGGTTAGGAGGTCCCCAACTTTGCCCTATTCTCCAAGAGTGGCGTAATTCACTCCAACACTCTGGAGGAAATGCCACTGTCCATGACCCCAGTGACTTGAAACTTGGTGTGGTAAGGACTCCCTAGCTCCACTAGTAGAATTAGTGGGGTAATGTGCATTGGGAAGTCTTAAGGAACAGTACTTTGGAAACAGTGCAATAGGTGAACATGAATTTTATAAGCAAACCAACCCCAATTTATTCAATCTGTTGATCAGCAGGGATAGGAAGGATCCCCTTTAGCTTTACTCATGATAATCTATGAGTGGCAGTCCAGCATAGTACAGTATTACCAGCTGGTCAGCTCCTAGGTGATCTTATGGAACATCTCAGTTCTACAGAGTATATTGAATTAGTGGTCACTAGTGTGGAATTGTTTTGATAAAAGCACACCTGCCTGGGCAATACTCGCCACAGAGTGGGATCCTGTGAAATTAAGTTAAGGGATCCAGAAAGGTAGCAATGAAAAGACTCGCCCATCTGTATAATCTAACTGAAATGGTTAAGATAGCTAAAGGGGGTAGACAAATACCCTCAGAGGAAGAGACTGCCAGACCAGGTAAATAATGTGAGATAAAAGTATTGAGGGAAGTCCACATACCAGTTGCACAATGACTTCCAGTGGTAAATTTGACCAAGCCACTAAGGACATAGAAATGTCACAAATCTGATTAGACGTGACTCACAGAAGAATCCTTGCCTTCAAAGAGAGCCCAGAAGAAAAGTCATTGTCTAACATCTATAAAGGCATTAGAGCAGGCAACAAAACCTTCAAGACCCTCACTGAACATGACCATGATCGAAATCTGATTGTACATAGAAGTGAGAAATAGTGATCAGATGAATAGGTGAATAGAACTTTAACCCCTTTCCTGTCTGACAGTGTCTTGCATAAGAAGAACTGGTCTGAGGATGTAGAGAGAATGAGAAAGCAGTCTTTGGACAAATGGCACAAATCACTCCAACTGGTGATGTCTGTAGTCTACCAGCCATGAAAAAAACTTTCAGGTAAAAGATATACAGGGCATATAAGAGACAGGGCACAAACAGGTGTTAAGAAAGAGCTTGTACTGTAATCTTAATATACCTACTTGAGAAATCCAGAGAGTCCCGGGGACTCAAAAATTATGTGGTCATGATAAGCGAATGGTAGTCGATAAGTCCACCTTAAACAGGGTGACTGTGGAAGATGCAAAAACCTCTGCCAAAGATCCAGGTTAAAAAACGAGTTATGGTTGGCACCTCTGCCCAAAATGAGTTCAACCTCCTCTCAATACACCTTTGCTAATATGCATGTCATTTCTGTTGACAGATGTTCATCTCAGAGTAACCAAAACCTGAGACAGATTTATGGCAACATTAGAAATTAAACCCCCACTGCTGCAAAATTTCCATGCCTGAAACTTGAGCTTCTGGATAGATGGGTGTACTAGGGAAGATCATGGCTGCCTCCACATAGATAGCCAAAAAAGAAGTGGAAGAGGTGGATGCTTCAGAAGGTTCTGCAGAAGCAAAACCCAGGGTGTAGCAGCAAATCGGGTATTATCAATAGGACCCAAAAATGGTTGGAACAAATCTTATTTAGTATCCTGCATAACATATCAAGGGGAGAGAAGGCCTAGAATTGTAATCTCATCCTGTCCTGACAGAATGCATCCATTGCCAAAGCCCGAAGATGAAGTACTGGAGACAAAATTACCAGTAGTTGGGTGATCCAAGGAGAGGTCAACTCACCGATCAGAGTTGCAAAATTATAGCCAATCCAACAGAACCTTGTGATGCAGCATCTATTCTATCAGGAGAATCAGTGAGGATTAATACAATTGACCTGCTGCTAGAGGCATCACCCGTGGAACATGGCAAGCTAGTAAGGTGATAAGATAGGAATGGTCCCAGAGAGAGAGGTTCAAAAATCAAAAACAAGAAGCCCTGGACCAAGTGCCTCATAGATGAGAAACACAAGACACCACCACAGAATTGGCAGAGTGAAGCCTGACGATTTTCCGCTTAATAAGCCCAGACCATGAGGCATTCATTGCCTGTTGAAGAGCAAGGAGGACTAAAACATTGTGTAAAGAAGTCTATTTGTCCATGCATAGAACCTGGAATTCCTGATGTTGGTATATTCACCCCATCCATAAAGCAAGGCATTCGTGAAAAAAATGGAACTCTGGACAAGGTGGAAATATGGGAATCCATATCGTAGTAGTGTTCTGACTTAACAACCCCTCAAGATCAAAGAATGATCCTGACAAAGAAAACTGGGTAACCAGTGAATTGATGTTTATAATCACTTGGTTGCATAAAGGTAATTAAAACTATCACTTGTGCTCTCATCCCAAAGGCATAAGGGATTCGAGTGATGCCCACATTCCTAGAAAAGAAAGAACCATCCATGCTGTAGGAGAAAGAGGGATGAGTAAGAGTCTGACGTCTTATACCATAGCATTGAGCTAGATGGAAGTCAACTATGCCCGACTGAGAGACAAGATCAAAAATAAAAATATCAAAACTGATGACATCTGGAATGGGAGCAAGGATAGATGTCTCAGCCCTGAAAATGAAGCCTGCCTTGGTCGTTTCTGAAAGTAGAATTAGGATATGAAATCAGTAGAAATCAGTCATCCATGGAATGGTGTGTGCACAGTGTAATGGAAGTGACGAGAAAATTCGTACATTATGGCAGAACCCATGTGAAGCTGATGCTAGGCCGAATATAAAATCCTGGAACAGCAGCACCTGACCCTTATGCACAACAAACACTGATAGTGGTGGGATTCCACCACTATAGCAAAGTGCAGATAGGAGCCGACTACAGCAAATGTGGACATCTACAATCCCAGTAAAAAATGTCAGCTCAGGTTGATGAATGAGTAATTTGTGAACCTTGGAGACTATAGGCATGGATATAGACGAGAAAGATCAATGACTGGACCCCAATCTCCTGTCTGTGTAGGCCTAACAACTGACAATAATAAAACCTCGGAAGAACTAGCACAACTCACTCACTACACCCAGAATAACCAAACTCTATAAGCTCTATAAGTTCCAAATCCCGATGATCTGCGAGAGATGGAAACCCCAAAGGTTGGATGGATAAGAGAGGTGAAGATATGAACTGAATGACGAATCCTGACTCAAGGACCTACAGTGCTCCTGGATCCATGGTTAAGGTTACCACATGTCCAGAAATTCTCAGAGCCGAGCCCCCACAGACCCTTAAAGTATACAATAATAATTAATGTTGCTGGCAATCCGACCAAGCAGTGGAACCTTTGGATATATACAGAATATATTCTTGGTACCAATGTACCGAGAGGCTGATGTCGAGGGTTGGGACCCCCCCCCCCCCTGTAGGAGCCAATGAAATTCAAGACTCCAAAGACAACAGGGAGGAATGTAGAAGCTGCAAATTGAACCAACGGGCATGCTAACAAGGGATACAGCTCATCATCAATGAAGTTAGTGATCCAGAGAGTCTTCCAACAAAGTGGTGGATATTAAAGTTGGAAGACTGTAGACTTACCCTGTCCCATCATGGGACATAGATTTACTTAGGTTAACTTCAAACTCCGCCTTAGAACCACAAAATTCGAGGAGCAGAAGTATTATTTGAGAGTCGGAAAATGCTTCCACCTGGTGGTGGTAGGCTAAAATCACGAAGTTCTGACAACGTATCAGATAAGGCATAACTGTCCTTTCATGTAACTGAGAAAGAAGTCTCCCAGCATGAACCACAATATCCATGGATGGAGAGAAAAACTAAAAATTCGCTCCCACACCTTTTAGCTATCAAGTAAGGAGCAGGTTCAAAAGCAACTGGGAAAAAGTCTAAAACATCACACTCTTGAAAAACCAACAGAAGAAAAGAAATCAAAGGCAGGTTATCCCAAAGTGTGTTTTATTTTCTTTTTCCTTTAAAGACTGTGTTGATTACTGTTGATTGGTACAACCTTTTGTGAGGTAAATTTTCTTTGTTAGAGCAAAGCAATGTTGGGCCATCCACCAGAGGGAACTGAACTCCAGACCCCAGCATTACGAGTCTGCAAACTCACCACTGTTCCATAGGGGGACTAAAAACCCAACAAACTAAAAGAAGGCACAGGAAAATGTGAATTTAAATTATCTCCAGAATGTCGAGGATCACCCTGAATTGCAGCCTCAGAGGCCCTCGGAGGACCACCACAGATCCAAATATGTCTCCATTTCATTACGAATTAGATCATCAACAACCTCAACTGAAAGTGACTCCACCACCACCACCTAGATTGTGCAATGCTAGATATCATAGGTGGAATAGAAGAGCCCTGATTTGCCTTCATACCAGAAATAATATTCCATAAATTCATGCCATAAATTGGCTTGCCAATCGGAATAAAATTTTTTATTATAAATTACCATTAAGAAAATCAACTAGATAGCACTGATAATGGTCAAAGTATCTCTGAACAATCATAATAATGGGGAAACCCGTCAGTGATACTTTGTCGAGAAAAAGTGATAACATTCCAACTCAATCCAATTGTGGTAGGTATTTAGGTTTAATAACCCGGGGGTGGTCAGAAATTAAAATTATTTCTCTTGCCAGGGTTTCTTCCTTTCCCCAAGTGATAACATTATCTGAATGAGAGGCTTATATAGAGTAATAGATGGTGCATTGATATAGGTGGAAAGTGTCATGAGACAAATATTGCCAAGGGCAATTAAATGGGGTATAAAAGACTGGAACAAAAGAGACAAAGTCAGACCAATGCTTAGATGGGCAAAGAAAGAAACCCTGACAGTCAAGTAATAGCTATAAGTGAGAGAGAAGGTATGTATGTATTGGAATAGCAAATGTATTAAAAATATTTTTGTTTTAGTCTAAAATAATTACTTAAACTTGCAATGTATTATATATATTTAACCTGTCACTTGTGTAAATAAAATAACCTATATTTCCAGAATTTATCTGCAATATTTCACTTTATAAGGAGCAATCCATAACCTTCAAGTTTGCTAATTAGCTGTACTAGCAAAATATTGAGCAATTACAAGTACAATCAGAAACTATTGGTAATATTTTATTTTGCATTTATAGCTATGTCTAGTAATAAGCTGTAATTTGTATCAAAGAAAGTTAAGAGTAATAGCATATTTTGTCTTTTTATTATTCAAATAAACAAAATGTCAATTTTTTAAGTCTATTTAAACAAAATGTTAACGTAAGCAGTTATGTGCTGTTTCATTTCATGGAGCAAAAATTACTATCAAGGAAAGTAACGATACTGATAAAATTTTTTCACCTTCAGTAGTCGTATAATACGACTGACTCTCAACACTCTCAAAATTCTTGCTGTGCGAAGAATGGATAAAGCAAAAGTTTCCTCATTTGCTTCCATAAAATAAACAACAATATTGACTAGGACATCAGCAACAGAGATGATGGTGATGATTAAATCATATTTATTCCAGTAACTTTTCCAGTATCCTTTCATTGACAAAGCAGAGATCTGAAAAAGAAAACAGAAGCATCTTAAAATTTACTATCAATAATTCTTTACAAGCAAAATTGCTAAGGTGATTAGCTGGCTCTATTACTTCATACCAAGTAGTATTTATCTAGTGTTTGATCATTTTGAAACTGAAAAGATTATAGAATATAAGAAGAAAGTAAATTACAATAATAAATTTATTGTTACAACATTGAAAGTCACGCGACGCTGGGAGCATGCGTGCTGGAGTTTCTAGAAGGATCATGACTTATTGAGGAACCTCGCGAATGTCCGAGTGTTTGCCAGGAGCCCTCTTTTTTAGTATATAAGCTCGGCAAATAAAGCCAGCGATAGATAGATATGCAGATAGATTGAAGATATAGATAATTGAGTCAAGCAAACAGTAGGCACCATAAGGAAAGTGTGTGAACCACTGTGATTTATAGCGTGTGTTATAAAGGTTGTTAAGTTTAAAGTGACTGTGGAAATTCTGTGTATTATAAAGTTGTATGGAGAAAGAATAAACTAGTTTTAATTAAGAAAGGACTTGTATTGCTGAAGTTCCTCGGAAAGAATTTATACCAGAAATTAAGGAAATTATCAAATGAGCAGATACTTAACATTATGAATTACTACACTACACTATGTTTTATTGAAATGACTAAGAAAACTACAAGAATATTTAAACCAGGAGAATCAAGTAAGATCACACACAACACTCATTAATTAAATGCAATTCTTTACATTTCAGTTATTCCAGCAAATTACATTTTTTTCAGTAGCTAAATTTATATTATACAATAATCAAATCATAAGTCACTAAATGTATATATGCATGATATTGGATCCATTCATAAACTGATTAAATGCTGTGAACATCATGTACTGTAAACAAAGTTATGTAAAGCTTATATTATGTGAATGTTAAGAAATCAACAACATTAATATTACCTTGATAACACATTCAGCAACATAAATAAGAACAAACACTGCATTGATAACTTTTAGTACATTATTTAACTTCTTTTCTGATTCATCCAATAGTAACTGCCAGATAATGGGAATGAGGTTGATGGTGATGATAGAATAAATAAATGGCTCAAAGAATGGATTTAAAATTATTTTCTGGGCAAAACGATGACACTTTCCATCAGCTCTGCCTATCAAAGCTCCTTTTTTGTCTTGCTGCTTAACAGGAATAAATTCCACCTTTCTAATTTTATTTTCCAGCCACCTTTTCTGGTAAAATGAGAGATAAACACTAAATTAAAATTAATATTATGGCATTTTTTATATTATTATTATTTCTTTCCTTTACAACATAACCAGCTAGAAGAGTCAATATGAGGTCAATTTGAAATAAACTGCTATTATTAGTGTTAAAAACTTTTATCTTTTTGTCTGATTGACAAATTTTAATAAAGAAACTTTTTTACAATACTTGATGTTCTTTGATGTCTTAAGATATTAAGGCCTTGTGTTCTTTAATGACATGCTTTGAAACAAAGAAATGCTGTATAAACTAAAAGAAAATTTTTGGAAGATCATGTATCCATACTAATAGAGGAAAGAAAACAAGTTTTCCTTGAAATTTGACTAGTAGCATTTCACACAAACACACACTTTTTATACTGATAATATTGCAAGGATAACATAGGATTTTAGGTCAAAATGGTGTTTGTTAAGTTCATTGTTTGGATGTTTGAAACAGTTATGATAAGGGCAAACAACCATTGATTATTTATACTGTATGTTTCCTAAGCCCACTATATGTCCTTTTTTTAAAAGTGAAATATATTCTACAACATAAAACAAAAATTTCTTCATATATGCAATTGCAATGTAGTTAACCACTATATCAGTATTTATACTTATAACATTAGTGCTAAGTTCTATGTCTGTAATAACAGTAACTATTTTAAAACACAACACTTCCAGCTATAACTCAGGTTGTAGAAGCAATCAGATATATACATGTTGAACTATGTATTTTCAACTACAAACTAATGTCCAAAATAGTAAAAGATTTGAATCTCATCCAGTCTTAATTTTCACTTCTTCAGAAAAATTCTAGCTCTTGTTAAAACTATTTGTTTTTGTTTATACATTTTTCTACATATATATATATATATATATACACCCTATTTGTTTAACACTAACAACAAATACAACAATTTCACTGAAATGTTTCTGTCCAATGAAAAAACCTCAGTATTGTAACAAATATATAAATATAAACATGACGTGGAAGAAAACTTATGTTCTTTTAGTGTAATAATTTCCACAACAGTTTTCATAAATGCAACTATAATGTTTCAGCAGGAACCATTTTAAATGTTCTTATAAAATGGTAGATTACAGAGAAACATTCTATTATTTGGCAGATGTAGTATAAATAACTTAATATAACTATTTGCCAAATTCATAAACTTACAAGGGCTAGATAACATGGATGAATCATCATCAATCTTTCTAAATCTTCAGTATCAATAAATCTGTATGAAAAATGTAAATGTTGTCAGCAGTAATAACTACACAAGAAACTTCCTAAAACGTAAAGCATATCCAAGTAAAACTAAAAACAAGAAGAAAAATCAAAAGTTCACAATAAAAATGCCTCTTTATAGGATTACTGGTGATGTTTAGTTCTTAATTAATAATTTACCTTGTTTGTTTGGAAGTTACAAGGTTCATGGAAGAACTGTTCATGTATCAGAAAAACCACTTACTGATTAACTTATCATACTGTAAAATGCATTTATTAACAGTCACTTATATTAACCTAGTTTTTACAGTTAATTGAAATGATTTTTAATAAAACAGTGGTACAGCATGTAAAATTCTCATCTATTCAGAAAAACAACCTTCCTGTATATTGAAGTATTAAAGGCACTTACAGCCGTCAGAGTGATTCACAGAAACTTCTAGACAAAATTTCTGCCATTCTAAACTAAATCAATACATGAATAATGAGCTTCAATTCAAAAGTGAAAGATTATTAATAAACTTTTTGAAGTAACAAAGGTATATATATATATATATATACATAGCACTTAATTCAAAATGTATGAAAAATGAATCTTCCTTAAGAAAATATTTTTATCTACCACATGAAAAACCATTTTCTTTTCATTACAAGTATTAACTAAGATTACAAACTTACGAATCTTTATGGTCTGCTGCACTGTCAGCTGCTGAATGCAGAATTTTTACTGTTTCACGTCTTATAAGCCCATGTTCAAACTGTTGCCAAAAATTTGCCTAAGAAATTAGAAAAAACATTGAAAAAGTTGTTAGACTTTTCAACTTTTAAAATGTACTAAATAAACAGATCTGATTCAATACATTTGAAATGTATTAAGTCAGGTAGTAACTGTGTAATGGACTAAACAAAATGCTGCTACATCCAGGGTCAAACAAAAACAATTTAACATAACAAAATAATATTTTGGGACAACATGGGACCTATTGGTCCATCTTGGCTGTTCCATCCTCAAAACTAAATTAAAATGATTAAAAAATAAAATAAATTCTAAACCCAGCCCTTTTCATTCATATACTTATCAAGCTTTTTCTTAGAAACTCACATAAATTTACTGCCTCTACAACATCTGAAAGTAACCTATTCCAAAGGTCAACCACCCTGTTAGAAAAATAAAACTGTCTTAGCTGAAGATGACTCCTACCTTACCAAATTTATATTTGTGTCCCCTAGTCCTACTATTTTCATTGTTAAATATAAAAAAGACGATACATCAACACTATCAATTCCATTTACAATCTTAAACACCTCAATCATATCCCCCTAACTCTTCTATTTTCGAGAGAAAACAATTTCAAAGATTTCAGCTTCTCGTCGTATGCCAACCCCTCCATCCGAGGCACCATTCTAGTAAC